GCTGCCAGAATCTACCTACTTGAAGAAAGCTTTTCTTGGAGGCTAAATTTGGATTGCTTTTGGCTTCAAGTAAGAAAATCTGACCAATTTTAGCTTAAGTAAGGAAGATATTCTCTTTCCTAACAAGAAGTCTTTTTTTTTTTTTTTTAGAAGAAGTCTTAAGATAAGCAAACCTGTAACAGGGCATATATGGCAGCTCAACAGTGTTACCAAAGTCTAGGTTCTTTCTGTCATTCTACTCTGACATCTTTACTATGTAAGTTTTTCAGCCTAATGTTTTTCATCTTGTCCCAAGATGACTCTTGCAACTCTAGGCTCATGTCTGCAAGGCCAAGAGAAGGGAGAAATGGTGGCATCAGCAATCTCTTGTCTTGAGTCTGTTCTTTTAATCAGAAAAGCAAGTGCTTCCTCAGAAGTCACTCTGCAGAGTTCTTCTTAATCTTATTGGCCAAACTGGGTCCGATGACCACCTCTAACTACGGGTGCAAGTAGGAATTAGAACCTTTGCCTATTTTGTGTGTGTTTTTTTTTTAGCTTCTAGAGTGAGAGGTGGAGCAGGGAGAAGGGTGTTAGAATTGGCTGTTGGGTTAGCCAACCAACAGTAGGTGCCTTGCTGAGTGGTTGTGACTCACATCCTCATTACTGTTTTTCTGTTAAACTCTTGATGATGCTCTAACATGTATTGTAGTCTTTTTGCCCTAAGTTCAAACAATTAGGTGACAGTTGTTTTTGTTTTTTGGAAGGTCTTTTCCATTAGTGTGCAGGCCAATTGGTGATAAGGGTAGTAGTGTGTTACACTTTTTTATTCTTAGAATCTTGTGCAAAGTGCCTGGCACACAATTGGTGCTCAGGTGTTTAAATGATTAAAAGAATAAAAAAATGGATTAATGCTTCCCTTGCATAGAAAAGACTTTTCTATTAACCTTACAATTTAAATAAGTATCCCCAAAATAAATAATCATGTCCAGGCAGCAGAAGCATTACATAGCGCACGTACTGCAGCTCAGACAGTTCACATCTGGGATTGCTTCTCCATCCCTGGCTCAGGTCCTGTCTAACTTCCTCCCCACCCCTCTCTCACTCACACCCACAGTTTTTGTTTTTATCTTTTGATGGTTTTGTCTTTTGATACATGCATATGGTACAAAATTAAACTGTTATACAAGACAGTGAAAAATTTCTCTTTTTTTTCCCCCATCTTTGAGCCATGTATGCTCCTTTCTTAGACTGATAACCACTGTCTTGTATTTCCTTCCAGAAATAGTCTAAGCATTAACAAGCATACTGAAACAATAGCATATTGTACGTATTTTTTTTGCTTTTTGTTTCTTATACTACATAAATGGTAACATATATATATAT